TGTGTGTGTGTGTGTGTGTGTGTGTGTGTGTGTGTGTGTGTGTGTGTTCGTTCCACAGAGGTCTCCAGGATCAGATCAGGGTCAGTTGAGTCTCAGCAGCTTACAGGAAGAGTTTAACGAAGCCGGACGTCCAAACCTGGTGACTGCTGCCGATAGAGTAGCTTCACGTGTTTGTGTGATAGTTGTGTTTCTGTAGTTTAGACGTCTGTGTTCTCGTGAAATATCCTCACAAATGGCCAACAACCATTTTAAATAAGAACTGCACTTAAATTTGAGATACTTTACTTAATCTACTTAATTTGCTGCAGCAGAGTAGATTCTCAACAAGTTTCTCCAAGTAGACTTTTGCACTTTTTGATGCCTGAAAGAGAGAGAATGCAGATATAGTTATCTGGTTCAGTTTTAGTATTAAATGGATGAAAACTTGCAGAAGCAGCAAAAACATTTGGTTCATTTTTGAGGTGAAGATTCTCCACTGAAACGGTTTGAGAGGCTCTGAATCTGTGAGGTCGAACTGAAGAGTTTTACCTGTTTTTGTTCTGCAGAAGAAGAGCTCAGAGACGCCGGCAGCCGAGTACAAGAAGACCGACGAAGCTCAGCCCGACGTGAAGGAGGACGAGGAGGAGGAGGAGGAGGAGGAAGAGGAGGAGGAGAAGGCTGAAGATGCTGAGGAGAAGGCTGAAGAGGCTGAAGAGGCAGAGAAGAGCAGTCCAGGTATCTACAACATCTAGACTTGAGGAAACTGAGCTCACCTGTCTGTCACCGTCAGTCTCACTGACTTTAAATCTTTTTCTTCTTTCAGCTGCAGAACAGAAGAGTGATGGAGAGGAAAGTCCTGCAGAAAACGAGGAAGAGGATGCAGAGAAGGAGACGTCTGACGATGTGAGGAGACAATATAAAGACTAATATAAGTAATGATGCATTCAGGTGCATTTGTTTGGAGTTTTCGTCCCTCTTTTTGGTGATGCTTACAGACCAGAACTAACATGCATGACATGTGAAAACTACTGGATTTTAGCTCCACAACATACAAACACAACTTTTTAGATTAACCGGATTTTCAGCCGCCATTTCCCGCACAGCCGACGTCCCCTGTTGATATTTAAGTATTAAACTGACCACATGCTGACGGGATGAGGTCATGATGGCATTTAAAACGTGCAGTTTACAACTGTAACGCGTCACATTTGAGGGAGACCCTCCCCCCCCCCCGACACTTGTTTGATTAAATGACATTTAATGTTAATATCTTCTCTGCTGTTGTTTTCTACTGTTCAAGAACTCGGATGGAGCTGAAATGTTTGTCTGTAAATGTTTTGGGATAAATTTAAACCTTAAAATTCCTTTTCTCCTCTGTAGAAGTTGGAGGACGACGTTCTGCGGAGATCTCCCAGGAACAGGGACAGGAAGGTCAGAAAGGACTGATACCTCAGAATCCACAGCCCTGACCTCCTCCCAACTCCCTCCCCCCCTCCTCTAAAATATCTCCTCCCCCTCCTCCTCCTCCTCCTCCTCCTCCTCTTCTTCTACTGAAGACTAAATGGAACCCCGTGGAAGCAGTGAAGCCGACTAATCAAGACCTCCAGCATATATGGACGCCTGCTCATGATGATGATTCCAGTATGAACAGGACTGAGTTAGTGTAATTTTTAGAGGATTTTTTTGTTCATAAAAGAGATTAATTGAGATGAACTAAAACTTCCTGCATCATTCCACCTGAGCAGACTGAAAGTCACGGGATCAACGCGTCCTGTCTGCCGCACCACCACTACCATCACCGCCCGGCGCCGTCCTGAGCTAGCAGAGCGCCGCCCTACTAACAGCCTGCTAATTAGCTCTCAGCTACTTGCTATAAGTCTCCTGACTGATGGAAATTTGGCCTTCGACACCCGCTAGTTAGCCATTGATCTGAAGTAGCCATCTTCCTGTTTTGGGTGACCATTCAGAGAAGTCTTGCCAATTAGCATACCAAAATGCTCCTAATTTGCCCGTGACCATGTGCTAATTGGGCTAACAGTTGTGCGAATTATCCAACCAAAAGTCTTGCCAATTAGCCTAACAGGCTGCTAACTAGGCTAACAACTGTCAGAATAAACCTACAAATGGTCAAGGACATGGAACCCAAACATCTTGCTGACTAGCCCACAACCAGGGTGCTAATTAGGCTAAAAGTAGTTTGAATTATCCAACAAAAGTCTTGCCAATTAGCCTAATAACGTTTCAAACAGTCTAGTTTGCAACTAGCTTGTAAGCAACATGTATATTCACCTGCTAACAGTTGATTTATTAGCCTTCTGTGAGATTTATGACCCTACAAATGATCAGGGAGTGAACCCACCCAAAAGTGTTGCTAATTAGTCTCCTAGCATGCTAATTAGCTCATGAACAACTTGGTAGTAATCAGGCTACTTGTACTACAGTCTTTAAAACTATCGTCACACAAACTAATTAGTGTTAACAACGGGCTGCTAACAAGTCCACAAAATAGTGTAATTCACTTACCAACAACTAGCTAATTAGCCTGCTAAGCCGCTAATTCACCTGCTAATAGTTGGCTCATCAGCCTTCCTAGATTTATCAAATTAGCTAGTGATTAGCCACTGTGCTAATATTTAAAAATGGCCACTGATACCTTTTTCGTGTCTCGTTTTCTCGTAATTTAGTTGTGTTTTTGTTGTAAAGCCGTTGGCTCCACACACAGCGCTCATGTTTCCTCCATATTTCTACTGTTGTGTTGTCCTGATGGCAGCGGGGGGGGTGGAAGGTCAGAGGTCAGAACCACCGGACATAAGATCGTTGGAGACGAATCTTTGGATTTGACTGTAAATGTCAAATGATTTTTATTTGTCCAAACAAATTCAACAGCTGCTCCCGGGTGGACGGACACCCAGCTCCTCTTTCTTCAAACACACATGAAAAGAAAAGGCACTAAAGGGAGAAAGAAAAGCGCTTAAAACCCTCTCACCTGTCCACCTGAACACCTCGACCAATCAGAGACACTCCAACATGAACCCATGTCGGGAGTTTAGCACCATTTATTGTAACAATCGTCACTTGAGCGTGACAAACAACTGTTCCCTGAAAGAACTTTGATGAAATAATCCTAACTCAAGAGTCACTTGCTAGTTCCCCC